TTTTGGAGTGTCATCCATCATCTTGTATATCCGGGTTACTTTGGTGCATCTGATCATGGGCCTCGCGACCTTCGGTCGCTCCGCCAAATAGTTTTACGTGCAAGGTCATAGCACCGAATTTTTGCCCATGGTGGCAACGGTGCGGTGCTGTGACCTTGTTTAGCGTGAATGTTTAGCGTGGATTTGGACCTATCAAAGTACTTTCACGCTAAACATGAATTGGACGATCGAAGTGCAGACGACGATATTCAAATAGCCAAACCTCACCACAATGACAATTCAACTCTACACTGGCTTAGAATTAGATCGAATTTTGTAGTCGAATGTTAATATATTGTATTCTCCCTTGTTGTGGATGTCATGGGAGGAGGTTGTTGCCTAGATACAACTGGAAACCTGGTCATTCTTATTCCTGGTGACGGTGCAACAAGCAACAATGCACACCAAACATTCAGCCATGATCTGTAGGTTTTCGTCATATTTGATTTGCCAGGCGGGTTGTCACATTCCACAGTACTCTTCCATGTATCATCTTTGAGCGCCATTTTGAGGAAGCATGCTGGCTTGTAGGTATCAATCATTGGAGAATTGTCCCCAAGCAATTGCTGCTGCTACCACTGAAACCTTGTATTGCATCAGCTACAGTCGCAAGTTCCTTCATATGTTGTGCATTCTTGGTATCTCACATAATTCGCCTGAAAGCTCCCCAGTTCTGATTTCTTTCACTCTGCTCAGTTGATGACAGGCAGTGCCCATGCTGATTTGCAAGCCAAATAGAAGATTCACAAAACAACCGCATTCCATTTGCTGGCAAGAGTTTGCCTCCATCCGCTTCGTCGTCTGGAAATCTCAGATATTCTCATTTCTTTTAGTCTGCACAGTGGACGGCAGCGCTCATGCCGATCTTCGAAGCCAATGAGCAAGGAGATAGCAAGACAATATTATTCCCCTTGCGCGCAACACCGACTCCAGTAGTATCCACCTTGTTCGTTTCAGCCCCCACAGCGGTAGATTGTTGGCGAAACGTATGTATCTTCCTCTGCTTCAGTTCATATCTTGTCTTCTTCTTCATTTGATGGCTCGGTTTTGGGTAACAAGGCTCGCCAGCACTGTGGTTTCACCTCGTTGGATTACAAGAAAAACACATCAAAATTGCCAACTGCCTCCGGCAGCTGTCATCATCAATCTATTCTTTGTCTCCCGTCCTCAGTTTCATTTGTCGTTCGCTATGAGGAAGCTTGTGAAAACAAGTAGCTACTGTATGGTCGTGAATGATTTGGATAATGATTTTGGAGTGTCATCCATCATCTTGTATATCCGGGTTACTTTGGTGCATCTGATCATGGGCCTCGCGACCTTCGGTCGCTCCGCCAAATAGTTTTACGTGCAAGGTCATAGCACCGAATTTTTGCCACCATGGTAGAGAAATGGCGAAACTTCGAATATTGTTTTTTTGCATGCATTTAGTGCCGTCATGCCACAGCTTTCTACTTCTTCGTCGTGAGGAGTGCTGCATAAAGAACATACTTGTGGGAGGGGGAGGAAGATTATGGCAATCCAGATTGTTGTTCAGCAATAATGAACAACAGTCACCACCGCCATTTGGTTCATCACAATGTGTTGACCAGGATACAGTGGTGGTTCAGCAACAGATTGATACCTACTTGGAAGAACGAAGTCAAAGACAGATTGAGGAATATCTGATACAAATGAACGAAGCCTCGGGCATCTTTGACGATTATTCGGCGTCGTCATTGTCGCGTCAAGAAGGAGAAAAAAAAGACAGCAAGGGTTTAATGCAAAAGATCAAGGACAGCGGGGTTGCCGGGATCATCGCCTTTGGCATTGTCCAACTTGGCTTTTGGGTGGGCACATTTCCTTTCATTGTACTTGCATTCTATAAAGTTTCGGGACACTTTCCTGATTTCAACAGCCAAGAAGATATGGCCTTTTTCGGGGGCGAATCCTTTGCCTTTGTCAATGTGCTTCGGCTTGCTGCCCCTTTCCGAATAGGCTTTGCCCTAAAGTTGGTGCCATGGATTCAAGAGAATGTTGTCGACAGGCTGAAGTTCAAGGAACGGGATGATGGATAGGTAGGAAGTACTAGTTACTGTATATACCGGTATCTATCAAATATCACTGAAGACCGCTACGTATATTGTAGCTGGAGAAACTCTCCTCCACGACTACGTAGCTGGAGAAACTCTCCTCCACCACCATCAGTATAGCCATTCCTAGAATATATGATGTATCATACATCATACATCATACACCATACAGCACTGGTCAGTCGGGCAATTGATCTGCAAAGTGGCCCGTCTTCTTTTTATTAGGATAAAAAATAATCCACCAACAACAGGTCTAGATGTTGTCGCTTGGACACAATATCTTTTGGCTATACTCTTGTTTTGGCGTCCTTTTCAAAAGGTGTTATTCGGCGGTTGAGACTGCCGCTACCTTTCTCAAAGATGCCGTCATTTGAAGTCGCACTGATGCAACATCGAATATTTTATGACCTCCCATACGTCATCATCTTTGATGTCATAGTGGGGATCGAATACTTCAGCATGGGGATTCATTCGAATTCCCTCTTGGTGGCTCTCGTCAAGCCGCATTTTCGCGCTTGCGCAATTTAAGTGGCCGATCAGAAGCAGAAAGTAGAAGTTGCCGTGTATCAGCACACACGACTAACAAGACAACATTAAATACCGCGTTAAGGTCGTGGTAACAATCCTTTTACTAAGGTAATGTACGCATCTTCTGTGGGATACGTCAGAAGTTCATTGGTTGAGACCTCCGATGTTTCAAGTGCTGCCGATCAAGAGTGCTGCCAATTTTATATAATCAACCAGTTCGGTGCTGTAGATAAAAATGTCGGTGTCAGTTTCGGTGTTTGTCCGATCAGAAGTCGTTGAAGTTCGCCGTATCCCAACGTCACAAATGGTAGAAGGTCTTTTGCGCGCGTCACCGCAACCACTGAAGAAACAATTCCGTACGGTACCGTAGTGGGACCCCACCGGGTTCCCAAATGATACTTTGGAGTTCCCATGACAAAGATAGAATTCTTTTGCCGTCGGAAGATTGACTGATGGGACTGCATTTATTTTCAGTCTTGCAGACCTGGTTGCTCTTGCTAGAGACGAGACGCTGTCCTGTACTATCTGCGTTTGCATTGGGGTGCCGCTAGCATTTGAAAGCTGCTAAATGCACGGTGTATAATGAATGAAAGTTTATTGAAAAGCTATCGTTTAGATATGCTATATAGTATGTAGTGGTATAGAACGGAAAAATGAGTGTAGGTCGTCAAAGTGGGATGTTTCTAAAAGTCGTCGAAGATCCCTGAAAGATCATCTGGGATATCGTCCAATTGTACAGGCTGCGAATTTGAAAGCGGTCTCATTGGCATCACGCAAAAGTCGGTAGGGTTGCACAACTTCTTTGGCTGCTGCTGTTGCGGCTGTTGTACAGCTTGATTTGGACCGAACGTCAAGTAGCTAGAAAGCAATGAGTAGTAGTCACCCATTGGCTTGAAAGTTGTTGGTTCGGCTTTCTGGGCGTTCATTAAGCATGATTGCTCAAAGATCTCGGCGGCATAGTCGGAGGAATAACAAGTTTCTGCTGATGAACTTGATAGCGTGGAGACCATACTCTGCACACTCTCGTCGGCCATACTCGACAAAGAGAAAGCAGAAGAATCACTTCTACTTTTGGTTTCCTTGGCCTTCTTCCTTGCGAACTTTGCCTTGGTGCTTGATCGGTACTTTGTGTGTAGGGTATCACGGAACATGCATCCTGAATGAAGAGAGAAGGAATGTAAGTAAATGATAGAAATATGAAAGAAATCAAAATTGACCCCATTTCCACTTACCAATCTTTTCTCGAGCAAAAGCATCGTCAACCTCCCACCAAGCATCCTTCTCAAGTTTGACAAAGGCTGCATCGGAACATAAACCCTTGATCTGGCCCATGATCTCGGACACAACCGAAGATTTGGCAACTTTGCTTTTGGCTTCGGAATATGGCTGGAGATACTTGTGGACAAGCGATTTTAAGTGTTGGTTACCAGTGGAGGAGGTGTACTCCTTGCCTCGTCCACAGAGTACAGTGTGTTTTTCGGGAATAAAGTCGTTGGGAAGTCTGGTTCTGATACCACGCCTAGTCATTTGCACCATGTTGATTTGTGTATTTTGTTTATTGAGGGTTTTGTTTTTGCGGATTTGATTTTGTGAAAGGATAGAAAAAAGGATACCGCATGATCGGAAGGAAATTAGTAATCGCCGTTGTGCGCGAAAACTCCCTATTCAATCAAGAACTTTATCATCTAGTTTTTCAAAAGAGATTGGGAACTCGTCCAAATAAGTACTTCATCCTTTCCTCAGAGAATAAAATTAATAGCGCATATATTTCTTTTTTAAGGAACGCTTTCGACTTCGACATTGTCAGAAAACGTTATCCTAATTCTCTTTGAAATTAAGATTTGTTTCTTAAGTTTTCTCTCGAACCGATTCGCCGATTGTGACGGAGATATATTAAATGTATGAATTAGCGAACCTGCTTCAAGGTGACGCGAAAAATCCCAATCTTTCGAAATTTCTTGGTATGTGATGATACCGCATGGTATGGTATCTTTATTGACTCCATCGAATCGAAATGTTGATGATTTGTTGCGGATTGGTGTACCGGTATATGCAAGGTGCCGGTAGAACACTGTTGAGTCGGTTGCAAGCGTAGCACTTGCTAGAAGAGATACGGTCCTACACTTCGTACAACACATGCATTGTTATAACCCTGATACAAAGAATACTGTGTACTAGTTCGACATGAAATAAAATTATTGACAAAGCTATCGTTTAGGACCTGACTACTTTGCGACACCACGTACTACTAGAAAAGAGCAAAACTATCCAGGTCTCGCATTCAAAAGTCATCGAAGATCCCTGAAAGATCATCGGCGAAATCATCCAGCAGATGTACAGGCTGCGAAGCTGAAAGCGGCTTCATTGGTACCACGCAGAAGTCGATAGGGTCGGACGACTTCTTTG